TGCCGTGACCAGGCCTGAAACCCGACTGTGACTGATCTAGGTAGTTGGTATCGTCCAAAAAGCTCTGGAGCTAGGTGGCGACCACCCGTTCCAGCACCTTACCCAAAAAAGGGAGGTTGGAGATTGGCCTGTAGTTGCTCAGCACCGTGGAGTCAAGGGAAGCCTTTTTGAGGAGTGGGCGAACCACAGCCTGTTTCAAATTAGATGGAAAAATCCCTTGCTCCAACGATGCATTAATGATCAATACAAACCAATCAACCAGCCCCTCCCTGGCCGATTTAATGAGCCAAGATGGGCATGGGTCTAGAGATGAGGTGGTCGCCCTCACAGCCCCAAGAATCTCTTCCACGGTTTCAGGAAGAACAAGCCTAAAAGAATCCCACAATATTGGACAAGCAGATGCCTCCGTCACCTCTTCTGGCACTGCCATGAAATTGGAGTCGAGCTCAAGGCGTATCTGGGCAACTTTGCCTGCAAAATTGTGTGCGAAATCGCGACACCGAGCTGCTGGGTCGTCAGTGACCCCCTCCACCACAGGTGGGTGAAGGAGTTCTCCTACGACCCGGAACAGCTCCGATGATCTATTTGCTGCAGACACTATACGGGTGGTCGTGAATGATTTCCTGGCCACCCGTATAGCCACGGAGTATGCCCTAAGAGAGGCTTTAGCCCGTGCTTGATCAGACACGTCCCAAGATTTCCTCCATTTGCACTCTAGCCCCCTTCTCGTGTGCTTCATCACAACCAGCTCCCCGGTGAACCAGGGAGATGGCCTGTCACGACGCAACAAGATGGGGCGTTCGGGTGCGATCGTATCTATCGCCCTGGACATCTCCCTGTTGTAGAGAGTCACCAAGGCGTCGATAGAATCGCCAGGCTCCAAGGCAGGAAGAACCCCAAGATTCCTCAGGAATCCATCCGGATCCATCAGTCTCCTAGGGCGGACCATTTTAATCTGTCCTCCACCCCTGCGGAGGTTGAGAGCTGCAGTAAGTCTAAAACTGATCAGATAATGATCAGACCATGACACCGGAAGGATGTTTTGTTCTTCCACTCTAATCATTTCGCTGTCCGTCACGAAAACGAGGTCAAATGTATGTCCAGCCTGATGGGTGGGTCCAGATATTATTTGTGACAGTCCTATGGTTGTCATGGTGGCCATAAAGTCCTGAGCTGTGCCAGACAGGGTGGTCTCAGCGTGGATGTTAAAATCTCCCAGCACCACCAAGCGCTGGGAAACCAAGGCCGAATTAGAGACCACCTCCGCTAGCTCAGACAGGGAAGCTGCTGGGTCGCGGGGTGGGCGGTACACCAGCAGGAACCCCACACTGTCACGGCTCCCTGCCTTCAGGTGGACACACTCAAACCCAGAAGCCTGCGGAACAGCGCATCTGATCACGGCGATGGATTGCCAAAAGACT